GCGTTGTGCCTCGAAAGACGAGAGCAGAACTTTGTGGAATACGCCAAGCAGATCGTTGTGTTCTTGGCCAGCACGAGCAGCTCCCCAGGGCAGAAGGTTATCGACTTCCTGCTTTTGCAGATTTCCCCCAAGGCAATGGTACCCAACGAAAAGCGGGAGACGATGCCTACACCAGCGGACGCGAACAGCTTGTTCCCCTATTGTGCCGACCTCAATGACGCGCTTCCTGTTGGAACAAAGCAGGCCGGTTTCTCACTGGGCCAGCTGTCCTTGATCCTGCTCGTGGACCTGATGGTCTCGCCTGTCAACTTAGCCGCCGAAAACGTGCCCATCTTGCTGCAAGTGGTCACTGTCCTTTGGGACCACTACACGCCTCTGGTGCAGGAGCAGGCACGCGAAATGCTGGTGCATCTCATTCATGAACTTGTTATCTCCAACATTGATGACAAGACGGTCGAGGAAGCGAAGGCTATCGAAGGCTTTGTAGAGCTGATCCGTCGCCATGACAAAACGGTAGTCTGGGGCTACGAAGACAGCAATGGCAAGGAAGACGATCAGGATAGCAAAGTACCCCCGAGCATGGAACACTTGACCTCCGAAGTTGTCAAAACGTTTGAGATTGCCTATCCCGGCATCAAGGAGCAATGGGGCCGTCTTTCGCTAACGTGGGCCACATCCTGTCCGGTCCGCCATCTCGCGTGCCGATCGTTCCAAATATTCCGCTGCATTTTGACGTCCCTTGACCAGTACATGCTTGCCGACATGCTCGCCCGGCTGTCCAACACAATCGCAGACGAAGATGGCGAGATTCGGACGTTTTCGATGGAGATTTTGACGACGCTCAAGACACTCATCTCGAAGCTCGATCCCGACAAGCTTCTGACGTTCCCGCAGCTCTTCTGGACCACCTGTGCATGCCTCGAGTCTATCAACGAACGCGAGTTCCTCGAAGCCGTTGACATGCTGAACCTGTTCTTGGACAAGTTGGACTTCCAATCCGCTAGCGTAAGGCGCCTCTTCCTGGATGGCCAGCCGACTAAATGGGATGGGCCGTTCGAAGGTCTTCAACCACTGCTGTATAAAGGCTTACGCTCTTCGCTTTGTCTGGATGCCACAATCAAGACGCTCGACAAACTCGTACGGCTCCCCAGTGATGCCCTTATTGGAGACGATGACCGCCTGTTCCTAGCTCTTGTTGCGAACCTCCCTCGCTTCTTGCACGAGATGGAGCAAGGTAACACGCTTAGCGACGACATTGTCCAGACGACACAGAAGTTGCTAGGTCTGGCACTCTCCCAAGGTCACGGCGGCATCGCAATGGTGCTGGACGGCTACTTATCTTCCACATACGACAAAGATGGTGGCGATTTTGCGATGCAGATGTTTGCGGCATTCCAAGAGCACTTCTTGCCGCGCCTCGACTTCCAGATGGTCACCATGCTGATGGGCTTCCTCACGAACAGCATTTCGTGGGTGCGGTTGAAAACCATGCGAATTCTTTGTGTGTTCATCCCGCAGACCGATATGAGGCAGCCAGATATTGCTGGCCACGGCTCCGACCTCCTTTCGCCACTCTTGCGCCTGCTCCCCACCGATTTCTGTATGGAAGCCCTCCAGGTTCTTGACAACATCATGACCATGTCCGGGTCATCTATGGACAAACATCATATCCGCATGAGTATGACGCGTGCAACATCAAAGTCCATCCGCAAAGAGTACGAGCGCACACAAAGCTTGTTTGGCATTCCAGAAGAGTCTGGCTGGGCAATTCCTGTACCGGCAAAGAAGACGGACTCAACACGCGCCAATATCCACGCCGTCTTTTACAGCTGTCAGAACACCGAGGGCGTCGCCGCCGAAACCCCAGCGCCTACACCAGAGGTGGAATTCCATGTTGAGGAGTTCCCTTACATGTACTACCCCGCGGCGATGGAGCGCACCGATACTATGCTTTCCGACGATGCGGTGCGCAGCGACATGTCAGTGACCGGCGATCTCGTCACCAAGCTCGACAGTCTAGATGACTTCTTCGACGATATGGGAACCAGCCCGCCCAGCGAGAGCCGCTCATCGACCATTACGATCACAGAAGCGTTCCCGGATGGCGCTGCTGTGGCATCGGGTGCCCAGCTCTATGACGAAATTGTGCCTCTTCTCCACGAAGCATCCAACCCGACAAACAACTTGCAAAATGCATTTGCAGACCGGCCGCCCGGATCGCGCGACGGCACCAACAACTCGGCGGTGGCCAACACAATGAACCCAGGCGCTTTCAACTTCACCAGTCATGTAGCGCCGCCCCCGCCGGGAAGTGCAGCCAGGCCTTCACTACATACCCGGTCCATCACGTCTCCATCCGCGCCGGCCTCAGTGTCTCCGTCCGGCATCGCGTCCGTTGCAGCTTCGTCGTCGTACCTGCGCGAGTTTGCCTCTGATGACGAAGACGCTTTCTTCTCGGATGTAGAAGATGACCGTCCAGTGGCCAGCAACAACGGCGGGTTGATGGTCGGCGGAGGAGCCAGTGGCGGTGGCTCTGCCGGCTCTGCCGGCTCCGCTGGATCCTTTAGCGGAGGGGTGGGTGGTAACGGCAACTACAGCGCTGGCGGTGTGTTCGAGACTATGATCCGCCCCCTAGCACAGAGCACCCGCTCGCGCATGAGGCGGCTGACGGGCAGTCGGTCGCGCGACGAGAAACTTTCTGATGTCGTGGGTGGTATGGGCGGTTTTGCAAGCATGCCAGGCTCTGCCGGGATGACGTCGCCTGGTCCGTCTAGTGGTGGTGGAGGCAGCGGCGGGAGCGGCGTCGGTGTCAGTAACAACGGCAATGGTGTTCCCAGCGGTATAGCCTCGCCGCCGCCACCATTGCGGTCGGACAAGCTCCCCGTGTCACCACAGGTGCCCAAGCTACCCAGTTCGTACCTCACAAAGAGCAAACCGAGCAACGACATGGTGTGATTTTGATGGCGTGAGATGGTTTCATTTAGGAGTTTTGTTCACGGCTGTGCTTGTTTTTTTTTTGGTATCATCGACATTTTTTTCTCTCCTTTTGGTCTTCGACGCCATGGAGTTTTTCTTGCTGTTGCAACTCGGCATCTGCTGTTGGCGATTTTATCTCATTTGCTACCATTTAATTGTTTTTGTTACGCAAGTTTTTTGGCCAGCATATTTAGCTCCTTTTGTTTCTTTGTATCATTCGCAGGACCGCGCCGATCTTGACCACCACATTTACCACGGCCATGATATTTTGTTTACTTTGGTATATCACCTTATGCAGTCGATATGACGGGCGTTTTATACCTACATTCATTGCCTTTATTCATTTATTTTCAATTATGATTTTGCGTGCTCTGCAAACCAGTCAACCCAGAACCGTTCACAACTAGCCCACTTTAAATCATTATTGTATAAGTGGTTTCGAAAACCAAACCAAGACTTTATATTTCCGTAATCACCGGGAGTATATGTGCAGATCGCTATGTCTTATTTTTTTTCTGTCTCTTTTTTTCGTTTCGGTGTCTTTTTTAAATATATACATATACGTATACGTATATTGAAAAGAAAATGAGGAGAAATTGACCCAAAGAGTAGTGAAAAAAAAGGAAAGGAGACGAAAAAAGGACCCCCCTTGACACTCGATTCAAGCTTCCATTCAGGAGCTACCAGGAACTTGACTTGGTCCAACCGGCAAGCTCTCAACGATGCGCAACTCGGCCTCGAAGCTGGAACCGGGTATTGACCAGCGCCGCAACCGGCTGGCAATTTGATCGCGTAGATAACCAGTGTCCATGGTCTGTGCCCTCAGCTGGCTCGAAAGGGGTCGGCTGGCGGCAATACTTGGGCAGGCGTCTGCCACCAAAAGGACCAGCAGGCAGGCCATGCTGCTCTGGCAAAAGGACCACAGGTACGGCGAACGGCGTTCCAGGAGAGGCAGCACATAAACCAAGTAGGCGGCACAGGAGTCGACACAGATGGCACATTTTTCGAGAATGGCCGTTGGCAGAGGTGGGATTGGCGCCAACACGGATGGCAAAGGAGGCGTCGTGCTGTTGCTTGCCTCATTGGCCACGCTACGGCCGCCTGCATCCGCACCTTCTCTGTTGCCGCCGCCGAGCCGTTCACTGGCCAGTATTTGTTGCTGTTGCTGCCACGCCGCTGCTAGGACAAAGGGCCGGTGGATGATGTGTCGGGCAGCAAAGTAGTGTATGCGCAGTATCTGGCTGCGCTCGTATACTGGCTTTGACGTATGCCTCTGTCGACTGTCTGGCCATGGCGAAACACCTTCGTTCAAGTCGTCCGTAAAGGAGAGATCGCTCCCAGCGGTGCCGCTGTTGCTCCTTCTGCCATTGTTGTCATCATCTAGGGAAGGACGAATGTGCTCTGGCATGGCTTGGTACCAGGCTTCGAGCTGACGGTTAAGCTCGGCGCTGATGGGAAGCATTTTCACAATGTCCGTGTTATGGGCATTGCTGGGATCGAGACCAAGCCCGAATCCAATGCCCGGCCTGGAAGCTGCCATGGATGCGTTGATGTCTACCTCGTCTCGCTTCCTTTTGTTTCCAGGTGTTGTTCGTCCGCCCGTGGCACTGTCGTTGTCAGGTATGGCCAGACTTTCTTGCGCCGAGTCGTAGCCGCCTTTTGCGTACAAGGAACTGTGAATGCGATTAAGAAGCCGCCTCGCTGCGATCTCGGCCACGAAGCAGATCATGTCGTTGCCATCATTTGGGTCGTGGCTGCTGGGTAGAGGCATATTTTCTGCCAGAGGTTCGATGCCACTTCTTGGAACATCCAACTCAGCCGAACGGTCACTTATCAATGTGTGTCAGCCAAAAACAAGAGACAAAAGCATAGTCATGCAACATATAAACAACGTACCACTCCCAAATAAAGCACACCCAAAACACCAGCAGTATATGCCCATCTTCCTCTGGTTCATAGCCATCTCGTTTATGCCTGGTTTCGATGCGATTAGCACAGTGTACAGGGCCAACAGTTTTGTTCCCTTAGTTGTGACGGTGTTGTACGTACTCCTCGATCAATCGCACTAGGTGCCGGCCCGCCAAATACACAAATCTGGCATTGTGCAATGGTCTCCCAGTATGAGAGAAGTACGAGGCTCCTAGAAGCAGGGCTTGACAAGTATCAAGCGACGCAGGGCCGAACTCCCACAGTGCGTGGCGCAGGATGATTTTTAGTGCTGGTTGGAACAAGGACAGAGCAAATCCGTCACGCTCATTTTGGTTATTCCGTTGCTTCACTTGGTCCGGATCGGGAGATGACGCGCTGGTGGAGGATTGTGACGGTGATGACGGAGCCGCCAACGATCCTAGCGCCCAGACGACGAGACAGATCGCCGTTCCGATAGAGTCATCAGGTCCGCTTTCATACACCTTGGAAGACCACTGGCGAAACTGCGTGGCGCTGAAGAGGGGTGCGCTTGGATGGACGTAAGTGAAGTACTTGTGTGCGAGAGAATCGAGCACAGATGGATGGCTTGCGGCAAGTACGGCCTGTGGTAAGATGACAGGCACAACACCAGGGCTGAAGACGAGGTCGAGCTGGGGCGGCAGAGGCTGGCTTGATTCCAAGTCAAAGAAATGAGTGCGAGTGTAGAAAAAGGGCCTGGTTGGACTTTCTCGAGAACCATTATCGCCGCTTAGTTTGCGTATTGGCTTGTTAATTTTGCTCCGTTGTTGCTGGTATGTGAGGAAGAAGCGGACTAGAGGCAGCGAGAGAAGAGTGTTTGCCGCAGTGGAGTGCTCATAAGGAATCAAGAATTGCTGGTCCTGCTCGATATTGTGTGATGAGCCATCGGATGTAGCAACAATCGGAGATGTTCCAGCCAAGAGGGCGCGCGAAGCGTTTGTGGTGGTGGTAGTAACGGCTGTGGAGAGACCGGTGCCGGAGGAAAAAGCGGAAGTGTCAGTTGAGTAGCCAAATACGGGCATAGCCGCAGGTGTGCTGCTGACCGTACTGGCACTATGAAAGGCGATGGGTGCATGTTGGAGGAAGGTTTGTGGATGTTGGGACTGCAATTGCGGTTGCTGTTGTTGATACAGGTACTGGGGACGATTTAATACATCGATACCTCCTAGCGGACTCACGCGGATGGACGACGGAACAGGCGCTAGCATAGGTGGCGAAGTTGACGACGCGCCCGACGCCCTTGTAGCCGTAATACCACCGTGACTGGTGGTAGCATGGGCGGCAAATTCGGGTGCCAGGTGCATAGGCAGTCGTGGAACAGGGAGACTGCCGGTAGAGGATATGTTTGCGTCTGTTACCTCAGAAGGCTCGGCTCCAGTCGCGGAAGCATCGATGGAAACATTGGAGGAAAGGCTGAGGTGAGGCTCGTCAAAATTTGAGGATGGCAGTCCTCGGAGATACAAGCGTTCCAATTTCTGGCTCTGCTCCTCGAGGAGTGCTTCAATCCGTCCGAGTCGCTCAACGACTGCTTCGTTTGGTGTTGAAGGTGATTCGACGCTGGGAGTCGATGTTGTGTTAGAGCTGACAACAGGGACATCAAAATGACAACAAAACATGTAGCTAAAGGACGCTTTTAGGCTTCGGGATACGGCGCAAGAAAGACTATGCCCGGGGATTGGACACGGGGAACACGGAGTTTGGCTTGCAGATGGCGGCTCTTGGCGGAATGGTGGAGGTGAAGATGGAGGTGGTGAGACAGGATGGGTAGAGCATGGAGAAAATGGAGGAGGATGCAGCTAGGCAAAGGCGAACAAACAGGAAGAAGTGGCCTAGCATGCTGGAGAGGAAGGTGCGAAGAGGAGGGCAGAGGCGAGGAAGGAGCGAGCAACAAACTCATCCATCCCTCTTGCCAAGTGTGTCTTTCTCTTATTCTTTTCGCTCTCTCTCTCTCACTTTTATCTTTTATCTTTTTTTTTAACAAAAATAAAAAGGCTTGGGCTCACCGTTCAATAGGCAGATCCTTGTAATGGCAATCTGCATTTGACTCTCTGCATGTTGAGCATGGCCGCTCGCCGTCGCATCTCCTCTTCCGGTGCCTGCAAAAGTCACAGGCTAAGAGTGCGCCTAGAATTTTCAAGAGGAATTGTCAATCACCGGGAAGTTGCAGAAGAAAGGAGCGAGATTATTGTAGGAGAAGGAGTAGGGGTAATGACGAAATGAAGAATGGAAGGGCGATGCTAAGATATGGCAACGATGACAGGGTAACAGGAAAGAGCAAAGGGTCACGAAACGGTTGTTGAAAGACGAGAAAGCACAGAAACTAAATACACACAGTTGTGCGCTTACTTACGTTTGCGTGTATAGTTCATGGTTGATAGGGAGGTAGCGACAACAACAAGAGCAAAGAAACAAGCAAAGGTTGTTTCCCGAGTACTTGTGCCCCACTGGCCGCGTCGGCCAGAGTGTGTAGAGTGCAAGTCGTGTGAAGAACCGTTATATATAAACAAGAACGTGTTGATGGCGCAGCTCTCTTCAATATAATCACTCCAACAGTCCCCAAATAGATCGTCGACTGAGGTTGGGCCACGCTTGGTAGGGCACGGAAACACAGGGGTATATTGACAAGTGAGTGTGGCAAAGGTAACAGTATATAGGATTGGATTGGTGAGGTGAGTATAGAGGAGAGAAGGGATGACTAGAAGAGTTGTAGAGTCGAGAGGGCTGTTCACAGGTGGTCGGTCAGCGCTGTATCAGTTCTGTGATATTTTGTTCGTTCTGGTTTTTTGGTCGACGTCGTCTCCAGTAAAATCGTCCTCAGATTTGTTTGCAAAGCTGTTTCTTTTTGATGCCGGACATCCACCAGCGCTGTTGGAGTCCGACAAGGTGTTCTTATATCCGAATGATGTTTTGCTGTGTCCGGTTTCGACGTTGCTCAGTACCGTATCTTGTCTCTATTTTACTTTCGACCCTTACTCCGGTTTTATTTATCGTTGTCCAGATTTTCAAACCACTGATGTCTTGTCTAAGTATTCAAGGAACAGTCTTGTCGAGGTTTTTAATGGTTTCACGAACAGTGCATAGCGGTTGATGAGTTGCTTGGCCAAGGCTAGAAAAGAACAAAAAAAGGAACAAAAAAAGAACAAAATAAGCAAATGTCTAAAACAATCAAAAAGAAAGTCTCAATAGGGGCAAGGGAGTGATAAGATCCGGAAGGTACCCAGTTCAAGGACCAGGTTAAAAGATCGGGGCAAGAACTAGAGAACGACGGAAAGTGAACTTGGTATGGTACGGTGTGCGGAGTTGTGGTCGATGTGGCGTATATCTAAGCGGTGTGTGGAAACCAGGATTAGGACACTCAAAATCCGGCTTGCTTGTTTTTTCTTTTTGTGCTTGTTTCTTGTACTTGTCATATTTGTTATATAGTTGCGGCTCATCGTCGTGTAAGTAGGCAGCTGTCACTTGCTCTGCTGGGCCGTCCAGCCTTATTACAATATTTGCCTTAAATTTGCCTCCTTCACGCACATATAAAAGCAGACCAGTTGTCGACGTGGACGTTGTCGTCGCGTACATTTGTCCAAGGGGCTTCTTTCGTTTCTTTGTCTCGCTTCCTCGCTGCAATCTTTTACAGCGAGATACCAGTTTGGGACTGTCGAGTGTGGCCAAATCAAAATCATGATCACAAGTAGGCAGGTCGTAAAAGAAAGAGGGGCCTAGCCGACTTGGCCAGCGCGCACTGCGGTTACATCATTGGATGTTTTTCTATGGACTCTGTCCTCAGACATCCATAGGATACGATGTCCTTCTAGGAGACAGTGAGGGAACGAAATTGATGTGTGACAAGGGAAGCTGGAGAAGAATAACAAAGAAAAGAATAGAAATCAAATAATAGGGGCGGACAACATGTGGCGGATATGTACACGCCCTTTATGAAAGCCAACTTACACGGGACTTGACAGGCGCGGTAATACAGGTAGAAGCCAAGTCTGTCATACTCCATAGATACAGAATGTGCCTAGGCGTTCTTCCGTGGAAATCTGTCAGAGTAGAACTAAATACATCCCACACTTTTGTCCCGTGCGTTGAGTGGAATGGAACACGCGACAGCAATTGGTAGTCGCCAAAGCAGTCCTTCATCGTCCGGGCTGAGGGTGGGACATTGTGGCTGAACACTTGTACCGTGGCTCTGGATCCTGCGTCGTTCAAGTGAAGGTGCGTAGTTTATACGATGCACTGCCATGCGACTGAGAAAAGACCATGGGCCATGTGGCCCTTTGCGGTTAGTAGGTCCTGGACTGCTGTCAAACCACTCACCGCCTGCACTAATTAACGAGCCTGTTGCCAAATGTAGAATCTTCAGGTTTTGACGTGCAGCTGACTGTTTAGTTGCTGCCTCCTGAGTCGTTGTTGGATCGCGTCGACTCCGTTGCGGATGTCGCCTCGTCAGGCTTACCACAGGGGTTAACAAGCCCCGAGTCCTCCCTTCTCTTTGTCGTTCTATGCTTTATTCGTCATTACCCGTCTCTCCATCGTAGCTATTGAAATGTTCTGTGTCAGTTTGCCTGTTCCGCGTCTTCGGTACATTCCGTTAAGCCTGGCGCTACCGTATACGAAGTCGAGAATTTGGAAGCGTAGGGTCCGATGCCGAGTACAGCAGATCCAGAACAGCCCAGGCACGGGCCGTATCGCTAGGTCTGACGCTTGTTGGATGCATTTGATGCATCTTGCATATTCTCGTATCAGGCTTCACTCTTTGTGTTTCCAATTGTTGACATGCAAGTCTTCAGTCGTAACTGCCTAAAAGCTAAAAGACACTTGCCTCTGCGGCCTGTACCCTGCAACGTGCAATTTCTGGATTCTTCCTTCCCATTTGAGATATCCTGTACCAGTGCTCCATCGCTATTGCCTCTTTTGTGTGTTACCTTCTCCTGAGTACGTCGCTCTTTCCGCTTTGTTCTGGAACATTTCCTCAAGCGGTCCTGGTCATTCTTTCTCCTGCGCCTCCGTTTTTGCCTCCTTAGCGGCTCTTGCCTGGCACTGATCTCTCTGCATGCCCTCGGAAGGCGCTGTTGCCTCTCTCTCTCCAGCCGCAATTGCGAGTCCGAACAACGCGAAAAGTTGTCACAATATGACGTAACTTGTACATTGTACATGCCCGTCCTTTTTGTGATTATATCCCGCCTGTGCCGTGCCGTCGTCTCCTGACAAAGTGGCGAAACGCCGTACAACAGTTGCAGCCTCTCCTTTCGTGCTTTGCTCTCCAGGCCCCTTCGTCGGTGTTAGTGGTCTTAGCGAGAGAGGGTGGGCCGCGGCGCATAAAGCTACCTTGGCTCCCTGGCCTGGCACGTTAGTGGCCGAAGCCTGGGAAGGAAAAACAATACTAATAATAAATAAATAAATTCAAAAAAGGAAATAAACGAATAAACAATGAGCCAACGACCAAAGAATCTATACAAATGTCATATCAACAACGAAAGTCACCGAACCTATTGCGGCGTCAATTCCGTCACCATTTTCGTCTGGGCCTCTGCGGAGCCGAAAGAAACGCCGCATTTTGCACCCAAAAAAAATCGGCCCTCGTTCAGCTGAAACCGAGTGGCAAATTGCCAGTCTCATTCGCCAGCACCAACAGCATGCAGGCCACGAGTTTGCTGAGGGTTGCATTGAGGAGATGGTGTAGGTTGGAGGCTGCGTTTATTTCGCCTCCGTTGCCGCCCATTACCATGGCACGTGCATGTCAATGGATTTTCATTGTATGTCATTGCTGAGAATTCTGCTGACACCAGTGTCGCGAACAACGTATGGTTTGACAACTAGGATGGAAAGGAGTCGGAAAACAAAAGAAATAAGTCAGAAAATAAGTAACAGACGTGACCAGCTGAACGGGGGATGCAAAGTCTACATATGTTTGGCTCGCGTGGGTGGTAAATATTGCTTTGGGGCCACCAACATCTCGGCCTGCCGGCCAAATAAACATCGGTGTGTGCATGACCTTATACACGCCCGCGCCCGCTCCCAAAGCCGGTAATCGTCGACGAGTTTCCAAGGCCATGGACCTGCACTCGATACTTGATTGGATGGATGTAGAGGTTAATGCACGACCGGAGACACGCACCGTATCAACAAAAGCACCCTTTCTATCTCTATATAGCCGCCCATCGGAAATCCATTCCGCCCTCGGTCCTTTGCCCGTTGCCGTATCTTTGGTCGGCACTCGAGTATTGCCCTGTCAATGGCGAACGGCACATCCTTCTTCAGAAAAACGTTTCGGGATATCCGAGTGGCTGGGAAGCCGCAGGAACTGGACGTATGGCGAATATACGAGTATACCAAAACTCCTCACCGCACTTTCCACTTCTAGTCTGCCAATTGTCTTTATATAGTCCGTCTCTGATCCCTGATTTGATACCAATGTTTGACACTTTCATGTCGTATTCCCTTATGGCATCATCATCGATGAGCTAGAAGGATTGTCACACGCTGTGGCAAAACGTGCTGCCTGGAGAAACAAATGCCGGTGGCGCTCAGAACGACGGCCTCTCATTGGAAGAAACACGGATTGGGGAGTGCTTCTTGCCGTTCCAAAAGAGCGGTGGCCATGATTTCTCGGCGTCCATTATCCTGCTCCAGCAAGTCGTATCGTTCCGTTGTGTCGGTGGTTGCCATGCTGACATCCCTCGTACATGGGGCGGATGTCGTATATTTTTTTCTCCACTCTCTCTTGTATAGTGAAAGAGGACAGAAAAAAATAACATGTTTCCATTCTGGGCGATAGGCTCCGATTCTTCATCCATTTCTACCCATACTGTGCTTGTTTATAGTTGCGACTGGCTCAACGATGCTTGGCATTTTTTGTTTTATATGCACCAAATTTGACTCATTACTATTGCAACATCAGCCGTTGGCTAATCCTGAAAACTGCAGTTGTTACTTGGTTTTGTGCGGCGTGTTGTTCACAAGACCAAACTATATTTCTGCCGCGTAGCTAACTGCGGCCGTTCCATTATAGTAACTTGCAAGTACCCGAAGCTAGACGTGCATACAGCTACTTGCGTTTCGGTGCCCATGAGTATACTTGAATCTTCCGTGTACCTTGTCGTATGTCTTTTCTTTCTTTTATCCTTAATTACACACCCTGTATCTGCCGGTCACACTGAAGCCAAAACAAAATAAAACCCCCTTTTCCTTGAAAGGATCATGTAAATATGGGCTTATTTCTACAACCTTGGATGCACCTGTCAGAAAGAAACACCTTATCTGTGGAATTCGTATGCTTGCATTTATTTCAAAAGGAAGGTACGGATGGCGCAGGATATAGGTCTACGGGTTTGCTCCTGACCCCGGCAGCTGGGCTTGTAAGGAAAGACGAAAATATAGAAATGACAATGCGTGGTACCCCGGTACTGCCAACTTCAATACCATCGCCTCATGGAGAGACCGTGTCAAAAATGTTGAGAGAGTGAACCAAAAGATGTACATCGTCCCTGTGATCGCACCTACTTGAATAGCCTGAGGACACTTACTAGCCCTAATCCCCAGACTTCGTATTGTGACAAGGCACGAAAAGGCAACCGAATGCACAGAATAGTGAGACCTATCAGCCGGCAGTGCAACAACAACGTGACGGGAAGACGGGACTTTCCTTCCGCTTTAATAAAGACTCCTGACCGTGGCCTACTAGTCATCATTAAAAACTTTCGTTGCTGTCGAGAATAGGTAGACCGGACGACTACTGGACCGAAGTCAGAGGGATGAAGATATGGAGGTGTAGGTAGAAGAGCAAGGAAGTTATCCTGATACTTCATCAAATATCGTGATGATGTATATTTTGTCAACAGAACCGCTTGTCGACCGCGGACGGGAAGAAATAACAACAGATTGTTTGCGCCGTTGAATATAAACAAAGCACACGTAGTTCATATCCTACGTTCTCATCCATAGATTAGGCGCCTTCAAATACGCCTCATTTAAAAGCTAACAATGGCATTTTATATCAAAGGGTGTTCCGCCTGCAGCCTTGTCTCTGTGCAACGTAGTCCCTGATCGGACTCCTGTAAAGCGCGCGAGGATCGGCTCCGAAGGATCTAGGTGGGTCTCGGATTCGAGATTTGGAACGTGCTACGATAGTGTACCAGGACACGATACTCCGTACTATCGTACAATATGTATTACTTCATACTAGACCTAGGCGAGAGAAATAGGAAGTATTCGGCTAAGCCTAATTCTTTCTAAAGCTGCGATGGATGCCGGCTCTCTGTCCTCTTTTCATCACACTAGCGCCATATAAAAATTAGAGGAGTTTACACACCTTCAAGCGACGAGGTGAGAAAGCGTGAATTTAATATCATGTGCAGCATGGCATGCAAGTTCTGATGATCTGAGTACGGCAAGAATTCGAGCCTCAACTTGGCACATGTTGTTTTGCAAAGTGCTGGTAGGAGAGTGCGGCGACGTGCCCCGTTACCGCCATACTGGTTGTATACCCTAAGAAGGACCCCAATACAACATACTCCGTATGCAAAATAGAATGCCAACAGGACATGTCGGTCAACGCAATCTGTGAGACATTTACGTTTGTATTCGGTACCATCCATTTCGTTTCCATTTGTTTTGGTATTTCCTCGCCTTTCGGTTGTGTACTTTCTTGTCCCTTTGCCTGCCGCTCGATCCCTGCTCAATATTGAACCCGGCAGGCAAGCAGCACATATTTCAGGCGAATACGACACCGCCTGGGCTGTGTCCTTGAGATAATCCATCCTACTTCGTACGATGAAATTGCTACCAGCTGCACGAGCTCATACGTGGGGGAAAACTTGTCTCCTTGTGTCTGAAATCGTCCCGTAAAAGGTACAATAAATTCGTCGTTGACTGGCAATTGGCATGCCTGCTCTGAGTATCGTCGGGATCGAGGCTCGGGCCGGTTTAATTCTTCCAGTCCGGCGGATAGACCATGCCTGTTTTTTTTTTTCGTAAAGAAGACCAAGTGTTGGACGCTCTGAAGCCTGATCTGGTGAATGTTGTAAGAAAACTAGCATGTCATATTCCCCTAAAGTCATGGCATATTGGCGGCACCATTTGCCTGCCCATTTGCCTGCCCATTTGTTTGGTATAGAGGACACGGCTAGTGTTTGTGTCAGTTGGAATCTAATGTGAGCTGACGCTTTGTCTTCCTGGGGAGCGAAACAAGAGACACGAAAAGGGAACAGAAGGGCACAAAGCAAGCACAAGACATGCTCCGCTGCATCTGTTGCCTCTCACTTTAATTTGCCGTTTTCTGAGTTAGTGCTTAGAGTTCAACATTCAGTACAGAGCGTGCGGAAAACTAGACCAATGCTGGGTGATTAGAAAATATCATGTTGACAGGCTCCCGAAGTTGTCTTGCAGAGACGACAAAGTTCGGTTCTTGCATACCAGAAAAGAAATATTGGCTGGCATTGGCCAACCCATCCATAGTCGCGTTGTTGCCCGAGACTCTCATTTGATTGGTCTTTACGCTGTCCTCGTTCTTTCAAGCGACCTTCCGGCTTGCCCTGGTCGAGATGATTTTGAATGCATGTCGTACTCCGTGCGTCGTAATCCGCAGCAAGTCACATTTTTAGCAAAACGGCCCATGTTATGACACTGTTTGTATGGGGCTCGTTTGATTAGTGCAAACTTCATGTCGACATATGTTGCTATTGGACGTTCTCCGTCCAATGTCCTCGCAATGCGCTCCAACTGCACCAGTCCGACCCATCGTCTGCCGCCTGAGCCAACCCCACGCGGCGGACCAATGCACGGACACACACCATAAAGGCAGGGAACAAGGGTAACAAGTGCATCAGGCAATCAATACGACCTTCAGCTCTTTGCAAGATTGGCATATGCGGCCGATGCTTCCCGTCCGCGTCTTCCTATTTCAAATGCAAGCGTCAGGCCAGGTCGTTTTGGTATGCCTTTGCCCAAAAAAACAATGGAACAACCAAAACGTGAAGAAGGCTCCCAGTGAAGCGAGAAGCGAGAACAATGGAGCCAATTAGACCAATTGGCGCTCTGCACCGAACCAATGTGTGTGTGTGAGAATGCGAGCACACCCCATCCATGTGCAACCATACGACGCTATTCCGTACCCCCACTCCGATGGCTTCCCTAGATAGATAAAAGAAATAAAAAGGAAAAGCCGAAAGGAAAAACCACCTTCTCACCCTTCTTCTGCTAGACAGACAAAAGGGAGCTTTAACCATAAGAGGAAAAGAAAAACAAGCCGAGTCAAAGAGAGAGAGAGCGCGCGTATCTGACGACACATTAGAAAATGACGATGCCTCTTCTGACTCAATCCTTACCACCAGCCATCCGCGATTCAACGCTCGCTGTTGTGGATCGCTTGAACAGACGAAATAGGAGGAGAAAAGAGGCGTATGACCCACTGTGCGTGGTGGCTGTTTGTTTCGGCCGACTACTAGGTGGCCAAATTTTCGATCCCCCCGTGTGTCTCCTTTTCCAACTTTCCACCCTTCCCGCCAGGCCTTTTTCCCTATCCAGGCAATTCCGTTGCCCACCCACACACACATTTCATCTTCGCATTGGGGGAATACATCGTTCAGCTACGTCGTACGAATTGGAACATTGGCGTATCTGCACATCCTTGACGGAGTACCTTTGTCTTGACGTTCTCCACCTTGCCCGCGCTTCTCCGAGGCGTCCCCAGAGCTCTCGGGGCCGACCTCCTTTCTTTTCTTATTGGATCCCAAATTGATCGACAGTGCAAGGCAAAGTTTAGGTCTAGCAGCCTGTATCAACGGGGTCCACAAGGGCATGCATGGCGAAGAAAAGTTGAGACCGATCCATGCCGTGTTGTAGTCTTACTTTTTCGTGTTGCACAAAAGCCACGCTGGGAGGATGAGAGAAAAGATGCACAGCTGGTTTTGCGCAAAGGAAGGGCGCATGGGAAGCAAGTATGTGAGGATGAGGGAAATGGCGACTTGGCAGTGGGTAGCATCCGTGCGTGGGTGGGTTTCTGGTCGTCGAAAAGGGCGCGGGTTTGCACTACTAAACGCACAAAAGTACGGTAGCGACGGGGCCTCCCACACCACTTCTCACGGAGATGACGATACGGACGCAGTCGCACTTTTGTCGTCTTTACAGACAGGAAACGACAAGAGACAGAGGACCGCTGCTCAAATCCGACCGGCCGACTAAAAACAACAAAAAACAACGAATAGCAATTGACGCCGTCTGGAAAAGTGGCCCTTTGGTGACGTTCGTAGACGATGGCCAGAAAAATAGACGAAAAGAAGTTTCCTTTCCTTTTCTTTTTTTCCTGACGTTTCCCCGCCTTCCTATTGCCCGGCTCGGTTTTTCGTTTTCGTTTGTCCATTTCGATTCTCCCCTCAGAGGTGGGTGGCCTAGCTCAAGGGAGAAGGGTAGACGAGGGGCGTCGTTCTTGAAATCATTTTAAGCTGCAGTTCGTCGTTGTCCAAGGGCCAGCCTAATTCGCAAAGTGTCTTTCGATTGTTGACCCAATGTCAAATTTCCTTTTCTCCTGTCTTCGTTTCGTACATTGAATACCATGTCGTCGAAAGTCAAACGTGTAAACTGTTGAGTGAGGGAGAAGATACAACGACGAAGCTGGCGGCTGTAAAAGTCTGAGCCGTCCTCTTCTTTCGTCTTCGTTTTGATGGTCGTCGACAACCGACGCTATGTGCAGGAAACCAGCAATAAGGTCCGGCCATCGGGGACGGGTCAGGAAAAGAATAATTGAAAGAAAAAAGCAAGTTCGATTGAGCTGATTGTGCCACGAGCATGAGCTATACCCGTCTGGGAGCTGTTTAATCGCGTCGGCAGCGACTGCCAAGACTGAGCTGTTCGCTGTCGAAAACGTGCAGGCGCATGCATGTCCTTCCGTCCTTTGTCCTAAAAGAGAGAAACAGGCTGACGCCCAGGGTCACACCCTAGTTGCTGAACAGGGGCCAATGGACCAACCGGGGGACGACGGCACCCCCAAACCCGCAGGTCGGTCGAGAACTTGAAAAGCGACAATGGTTTGCTGTGTTGTCGTTCTTGTATCCTTTTTGTACTGACAAGTCGGGCGAGCAGAGTATAAGGAATCATTTGACCCCCAAGCATCTCAGCGGAGAACAAAAGCAGCACCTTGTCTCACGCCTTGCTTTTCCCATCACGCCCTCTTTCCCCCTTCTCTCCTTTCCATTTTCCAAGCTCAATCGCCCTTCGCGCAGAAAGACAATCACAACTTGTACAGAAAGGAGCCGAGAACCAGTTTGCGGAATTGACAAAGAATCGCAAAACGAGGCATCGGTTGCACGTGACGCCCGTCCGTCGTCCGAAACTAAGTGCGACGCCATCCTTCACCAAATTCCGGATTAAAAAAAGGGCGCGTTGTACCGGCGCTAGCCAGCAACCAGCACCAAAACCCGCACCCTTCGGCTCATTTCGTCGAGGCACAAGTCATCTGCGCCTGGCCTCGCAATTGAATCAGCACCAGCACTCGGAGTCCGGATCGCCGTTTCCCATCGACAGTCCACACCTGCGGGAAGAGCGGAAGACTTGAAGCTGTCGAAGCAGATACGCAGACGACGAAAATACAGCGGAAATGTCGACATCGGACAGAGATACCTCGGGGAAGGACGGCTACAGCGGAGACGTCGAAAAGCAGTCGCCCCTCGAGAACCATAGCCCGGCCGACGAGCATGACAGCCACCAGCGCACCGGCACCGGTGGCCGGGGCGTGTTCGGGCACATCCTGTCGGTCAAGGACGGCGAGGTGTACAACCCAAACTCTGAGAAGTCGTCGACATGGTATCAGCGGTTGGTCGACGCCGGTTTCGAGGACAATGGTATCAAGCCCGTTCCGCTCGAAGCCCGCACGAACACTCGATACAGCAACCTCTTCACCATCTTCTTCACCAGCATGCTGAGTCTTCTGCCGTAAGTTGCTGTCCTGTTTCCGCGGCAATTCGATCCGGTTGGTCTTGGAGTGGTCGCTAATTCGTTTCGCAGTCTCCCAACTGGTATCCTCGGCACGCTCACTTTCGGCCTGAGCCTCCGTGACACGTCTCTCATCATTCTCTTCTTTGCCATCTTGACCATCATCCCACCTGCTTTCCTGGGTGTTGGCGGCTCTCAGACTGGCCTACGCCAGCAGATCCAGGCTCGGTATTCGTTCGGGTACGTTCGTGCGCGGATCGAAGTCGTCGCAGCGCAGACTCCGTTAACTAACCATGCTCCGATAAACACAGCTTATACATTTCTCTTATCCCGTTGCTCCTCAATGCTGCCACTGTGACGGGTTTCACCCTGATCTCGGCTGTTGTTGGTGGCCAAACCATCTCCGCACTGAACCCGGACCATGTTAGTGTCAAGGTCGGTATCGTGATAGTTTGCCTCGTGAGTCTGCTCGTGTCGTTCATGGGCTATCGGACCTTGCACTTCATTGAGCGCTGGACGTGGATTCCCAACATCATCGGTATTCTCGTTGCTGTTGGTTGCGGTGGCAAATACCTCCATCTGCAGTCTGAGACAGAGCCGGCTACGGCCTATAACGTGCTTTCGTATGCGGGCATCATTGCAGGCTACTTCATTACCTTCAGTGGCACTGCGTCCGACTATTCGACATACCACAACCCGTCTGCTTCAAAGTATGTATTCTCCATGTCGTGTTGCGCTTGATAAAAGGGGTGTCCGATGGGATATGCTAACCAAGGTCGTTTTGCTTCGTAGGCTGAAAATCTTCTGCTGCATGTATTTTGGAATTCTGCTGCCGTCAGTCACACTTTTGATTCTCGGTGCTGCCATTGGCGGTGCTGTGCCGAATGTGCCGTCGTGGAATGCCGCGTACGAGGTGTCCAACGTCGGTGGTGTCATCTACGAGATGCTCACGCCGGCCAAGGGTTTCGGCAAGTTCCTCGTGGTTATTCTTGCCCTCAGCGGTGTCGGGAATATTGCCATCTCGTCGTACTCGGTGTCGCTGAACCTGCAGATGCTGCTGCCCTTCTTTGCGCGTATCCACCGCATCGTCTTTGTTTTCATCACTCTAGCCATCATGATCCCGTTTGCCATTAAGGCTGCAGAGAAGTGGGAAGAGAGTCTGACAAACTTCTTGGCCATCATCGGATACTGGGCCGGCTGTTTCGCTGCGGTGTTGATCGAAGAGCTTGTTGTGTTCCGCAAGATGGACTACTCGACGTATGACCATGCAATCTGGAACGTGGGCAAAAAGCTGCCGACAGGTCTGGCTGCACTTGGAGCGTCGATTTTGTCGTTTGGTCTCGTGGTTCCAGGCATGGCCGAGGTCTGGTACACTGGCCCAATTGCTGAGCACACGGGCGACATCGGTTTCGAGGTTGCGTTTGCCGTGACCGCTCTCTGCTACCTGCCTCTTCGCTGGCTGGAGATCCGGTGGCGGGGTCATTTGTGATTGGACTGCTCGTCACAATCATGTCCGGTTGTCGGGCAGAGTAGATCGGAGGAGAGGAGGTAAAGAGACTGATGGATTAGATGATGTCGACAGGTGCACGCTTTGTGCATGCTGGATAATCTGATGGTCAAAGAATTGACCGAACGATCTGATAAATGTATTGTTATTTCCCGGCTTCATTCAAACCAAGAATATGAGACTTTCTTTAACGAAAAGGCTGCGGCATTTTCGACAAACGCCAAACGGGTGGCCTTTGTCTGTTCGTTTTGTAACGTTCTTCGACAGAGTTCAGCTGAGTAGCCTGCCACACAATACAATGTCGTCGCCCAGCGGCTGCCATTTGACATCCGAGAGCCGTGCCGCAGCCGTTGCTTGATGGTTAGAATCGTAGACCCGGTCGGGTGACACGACCACACCGCCGCGACCCAGCCACGTCGGGGCGATGGTGACAATGACAGAATCGACGAGGTGGCTGCTATGCGGGGCCAGCAGGTCGTTGATGATGCTCCCTCCACCTTCAATCATGACGCTATCGAGGCCGTTGCTGGCGATGCTGGCAAGCACATCGCCCCAACGGAAACGGGGTGAGCTCTCCTCGTCGCCCTCGGTACCAAGAACAATGTACTTGCCGCCGTGGGCATCGAGAAGAGCGCTCTTGATAGCGTCTGGTTTTCGGACAGCCGTCACAATAAAGGGAGCCAGTCCGCGGCCGCGACGCTGTGTGGCCAGCACCCGGCTATCGTGCGTGAGTGGCCAGCGGTCGTGGGGATCAATGACAATCGGCCGTGGCTGATGGGGCGAGACAGTGGCCCCCGTATCATGATCGGCAATGCGGCAGTTGAGACCGGGGTCGTCGGCCACGGCGGTGCCCACGCCAACGAGAATTGCGTCATGGCGGCTTCGCAGATAATGTGTCATGGCCTTGGACTGGGGCCCAGACAGCGTGGTACGCACTCCGGGCGCGAGTGCCAGGGACGAGTCGAGCGACGTGGCAAAAGTCAGTGTGACAAATGGACGTGAACGGTCCACTGGTGACGAGACGGCAGATTGGCGAGGTGGGAGATAGGACTCCAGTTTGGCCCCATCCTCTGCGGGAAAGTGAAGCAGCTCTGCCATGGTGTGACGAGATGCTGATTGAGGGAGGAAGGGCGGGGGCAGTGTGCTGTGTGTGTCGTATTTGGTGAAAGAGCAATGATTGCGTGAGAGAAGTTGAGCAATGAACACGCGAGGCACGACAAAATAAAACAGCCCTCGATGGAAATTTGACTGTTTTTGTCTGTCTCAGGCAGGATGTTGTGCGTCGTGTCAATAGCCGACGGCAAAAGGAAAGAGGCCGAGGCGGTTAACCTGTTGGTTGCTCTTGCTGTTTTTGTCTGCAGCTCCGTAATGGGAAGGAAGGAGCACCCGAGCCTCCGTCAACTGCAGGTCACAGCAGTCCTCACAGACTGCATCTGCCAGTTTGTTGGGCCCAGGAGGCGAGCGTATGTGAGGGTGAAAAGAAAGCGAAAGTTCGAGTCAAGCAGGACGTCTTCTCTGGTGCAGAGGATATTTGGTCCGCTTACACCGAACGGCTGTACTTTCCCAAGCGAACGAGGGGAGAAAAGGAGAAATGAAGTAGGAGCGAAGGTGGGAATAGAAATATAAAAAGTAAAACTTATATAGCGAGTGTACGGAGTATGTTGTACACAGTAGTGAAAAGGGTCTTCTGTTCCGGACACGAGAGGGCAAAAGAGGTAATTGGGTGAAGAATGGAATGAAGTGTGGGCAACGAGAGAGGAAAGAAGCTCGCAAAACAGGCACGAAGCGGATCTCCAAAATTGCCTGCCGGGAACTTTAGCGCGCAAAGTTACGGCGCGCATGTCCAGCGAATTAGCGGCACAGTAATTACTCTGTGGACCGAGCTTTACAAACAGCTTTGGCGACTAGAACACCGCAGTTTGGGGAGTCTTCTGGGTGAAGCGAGGACGCCCACTTGCCATCAACACAACCCCACCTGGCTGGCAACGATGTTGAGTGAGCCGAGAGTTGCGGCGAGGAAAGATGGGAGATGATAGATGAGGCAATTCACAGCACACAAGCGACTAACGAATGAGGATGTGAGCCTCTTGTGTATTTCTCGTCCTGTCGTTACTTATGGGCAGACAGATTGGGGAGGGATAGACCAACAGCGTCCTGACTTTGCATCTAACCTCGTATTCATAGTAAACGAGAACTAGACTTAACCTTCATCTTACTTCACGATTTCTCGTAATTCGAGGCCGTGAGTCGTTTGCTCGGGTGGAAGAAGCGCTCAGTTTGTCTGCTACGTTAGGGTTACAGCTTTTGATGGTCGGACACACGCATGGATCGACAAGCGAGCCGGGGAAGGGACAGCGACCAGACGGACGGTACTGGTTGCCGGCCGGCAATCTTCAACGGAGCAAAGTAGAACGTTGAGCAAAAGGCGAACGCAGTAGTGGACACAACGTGAAGTATCACGTGCGAAGCAGCGCATACCTGTATTTCGCTGCCTGTAAGAGTATTACTTGCGTAAGCAGTCGACCAAAATGGCGGCTTAGATCACGCCTCGCACAACTTTCTTTGTTGCCATTTCCCACTGGAAGCTCTTGCATCAAATTACGAGTATGGCGACACGAGTGGCTCTTCACGCTTTCAAGCTTCCCAGTCAAGGCTCCGACACGCTTCGCCACAGACCGGAAGTCGGCCACGGCAATTTGTATGTGGACAAATGCTGAAGCCTGGCGAGGCTATGAGCACGACTGGCCCGGCTATCAAACGACTGAGACGTAATCGGTTTGGGCGGAATGTATCTGACCTGGATTACGCGGCACTCTTGCTGTTGGGTGACGGTGTGGCCCCGTTGCGCTGTCTCGAACAATTGTGTCTTTTTCGTACAAAGCTTTACCTCACAGCCTCTTCCTTAAACTGTTTTGCTTTCTTTTTTTGGCACTTGTGCTTGTGCCTGACTCAGAACCCTCGCTACTTTGATTATTGGCAGCCTGTAACAATTAACAATGAACAGAGCCTTCCTTTTGAAAAAAAAAAAACGGCTGTACTATCTCCTCGCTCCTGCTGTTGGGGCTACAACAGACGTCAAACACGGGGTAATTACGGAGGAGTATGTAGGGCCTAATGCCCCTGGCGGACGAATCTGGCTCGTCGCTCCTGCCTCTCTTGTTGTATTGCAAGGTGATATTAACGATGCTCTACGCGTGACACAGCCACTATCAGCATGCCGGGCACAGCTGTTTAACGTCGTTTAGCTGGGAAATCGGGTCAATGAAGCGTTTCCGACGGCGAACTTGGGACCTGTCGGCTGACCCGAGCCAGGTCAGATTCCAATGTCTGAGGAACACGCTACCGTATTTGGAAGTTTTTGGCCACCGGCTAGTGTTCGTGTTCACTGACCACCCCTAAGACGCCCCAAATTGGCCCTGCAGCCGGACTCCTAAACCGTCACAGAAAGTGTAGAAAGAGGCTTAACTAGCCACAGCGCCCAGAACGCCCAGAAATTATGGTAAGAACCATCCCCAATCGCGCCTTCCGGCCAAGCCTCAAAGGACGACGCAACAGGTGCATTATTACTCCCAAGCGATCTTCCCTTTTCCGTCCCTCTTGTCTCTGATTTCGATTTTCTCTCCTACTCTTACTCCTTTACAGTCTTTTTTCTCCTTCTTTCATTTACTGGCTCCCTCGAAACCAAAGCAAACGCAAAATCGCATTCCGCGTCGCTTCGCATCCGTCGCATCGCATTCGCATTCCACCGCGTCAGTCCGTCGAATCGCGTGCGCCCACTGTTCAAAGCCGAAATCCAAGCCCTTGCTCCTCTAAAACCACAAAGCGCATAGCGCAACTCCGACCACTGCCAAATTACCACGAAAGCCATCCTACTCTGTATTACTCCATAGGTCGTACAACAACGCAATGGCCAAACCGGAAAACCCGCCCGCCTACCCCGGCTCACCCCAGCCGCCCCAAGCCGCCTACTACGGCAATTCCGGCAGTGGCAGCGGCGGTTACAATAACTACAACACGCCGTACCAGCAGGGCCCCCCGATGGGCTACAACAACCAGCAGCAAGGATACGGACCCTACGGCGGCCAGCCCCAGTACGGTGGACAACCGCTCTATGGCCAGCAACCGTATGGTGGCCAGCCTCCGTATGGCCAACAGCCGTACGGCCAACCCCCGGCCGGCTACTACCAGCAGGGCGGGTATCCGCAGCAGCAGCAGCGGTCGTCGAGCGACGGCTGTCTGACAGCACTTTTGGGCACGGCGGCCTGCTGCTGCTGCCTGGACTGTCTGCTGTTCTAAGAGCTCGTCGGCTGTGTGAAGAGGTGTGCAAACATGGGCGGGCAAACCCGATCGTGAGGGTGCCTGCTGAGGCTGGGAGAGACGAAACGATTTTGACAGTCGGCGTTCTGGTTGTCTGCATTTGCTTACTTTCCGTTCACATGAAATTTTGTGAAAATCCGTCTCTTCCGAGAGACACTATATATCCAAAGAAAGGATCCGGTTTTGGAGGGGTGTTATGTTTTTCACGGCTTTCTATGTCTCCTGTTGTTCTTCGGATTTGTTTCCACGTTATGCAATAGTCTTTGCCGTCGTTTGCTCTATTTGCTGCAGCTACAAAATTAATTAATATTTTTTCGCCATTCTACACCACCGTCGCATACAGCTTGTCAAACTCCTCGTTCGTTTCGGCCACGCAGTCGTACGAGTAAATCATCTTTTGCACGTCCGGCGATGCCCACTTATCCGGGATCGCCATCTTGCCGTCGGCCCGGTGTGCCGCAAACTGCCGGTCGCGCTCCTCGCGGGCCGCGCCCTCGCCGAGGTGCAGTGCCCGGCCCGAGTGGTACGCCATGTCCACAAGCATCGATGTGCGCTCCTTGCGGAGGAGTTCGTATGTCTTCAGGCAGCGGCGGATGCGGCTGCTTGTGTCGGTGTCCGTATCGCCGACCTGCACCCGGCTCAACACCTCCGCCAACACCGCCCCGTCCTCAATGGCCATGGCCGCTCCCTGGCTCAAGTGTGGCAGCGTCGGGTGGCATGCGTCCCCCAGCAGCGCAACCGACCCGTGCACCCACATCGGCAGCTCCCGGTGCTGCCGCAGCCGCCACTCACACACCTCGCCCTCGGGCACCATGTTGAGCATCCGCTGCACGAGAGGGCAGAAATCCGCAAAGACGTGGAGCATCGCGCTCTTGGAGCCGCGCGTTGTGTAGGTTGCCGACGGTGCCGCCGCAAAGTTCACGTCGGGCTGCGCGCTCGACAGGTTGTACACGGTCTTACCGGCCACCGGGTATGCGATAATGTGCCGGCGCTCGCCGATCCAGCGCACGACGCAGTCGCTGTCCAGGAGCTGCATCATCTCGGCGTCGCCGGCCGCTTCCATTTGGTCGCGCGTTAGCATAATGCGGTAGGACGCCTGGCCCGTGTCGGCCTCTTCGGTCGACAAGCCCAGAACGCTCAGCATGGTGTCGCGCGTAAGCGATTTGATGCCGTCGGCGCCGAGCAGGACATCGACCTCGAGGGACGTGGGGGGCGCATCTTCTGCTGCTTCGTTCTGGGTGATATCCGATCCATTGGCACCGTTTGCACTGTTTGCACCGTTTGCACCGCTTGCACTGCTTGCACTGCTTGAACCGTTCGCTCTGCTCGAGACCTTTGGCGCCCGCTTCTGCAACCGAAGAATGGGGCGCGGCTCAAACTGGTCAATGCCGATGAGGGCTGTCGAAAAGTGAAACTCGATCGCTGGCTCGGCCAAGCACGCCTTATACATGCCGCCTGCCAGTGACGACCGGTGACCCGTACAGTGTGGGTACTCGTACAGCGCACGAATGCCGCTCATGTCAACATGGGCAAGCTCCTTGTCCGTACTGCCCTGCCGGATGCTGGTTTCTTGCACGTTGGTCGCCTCCTTTTCAATGTCGGCCCAGCAGCCCAGACGGTCGAGAATGCGGGCCATGTTGGGGGCCATTTGGATGCCAGCGCCGACAAATCCCAGGTCGGCGGCCGATTCATAGACGGCAATGTGCTTGAAGCCCTTCTTGGCGAGTGACAGGGCGCAGCCGAGGCCGCCCATGCCGGCGCCAATGATGGCGATCCGCAAGTCGTAGGGAGAGGCCATTGCAATGCTAAAGGACGCTGTGTTTGTGCAAGTTGAAGGAAAATGAGAGTGACAAAGTAGACGGCGGCACGGTACAACAGGGTCGGTGACAGACGCGAAAACCCATTAACAGCATAGATTGACAAGAATAAGAATAAGACGGCAAATATACCCGGGTTCACTTGTCCACGTTGTAAGCCAGTCTTGACAATACAAATAGTAACCTGTACTTCAACGATGCAGTGTAAAGGCCGGTCAGACAACGACCGAGACTGGAGTCATCGCATATATGTATACCGATGCCTCCGCTTTACATCCTCTCCAATGCCAAGATCGGGCCCCTCTGGCTCACTTCCCAGGATGATTCCCGGTGTCCATTGAGGATGGGTTAGACAACTCGTGTATTCTCCCGATGGTGGGGACATGGGGGCCGTTGACCAAGCCACTGTGCTATTCAAGAGCCGACGCTGTCCCCCCAATTTCCAGGCGTTCGCGGGATAAAAGCCGGCACCTGTTAGGATGGAAGCGTCGACTAAAGGGACGTGCAAGTGATCCTTCACAATGCGGGGGTGAGAATATGGGGCCTCGTTAGACCAGAGACTATGCAGAGTTCCTCCACTCCAACCCGTCACAACGGGAATGATTTCTAGCTCGGGAGAAACAATTTCGCCGCACACAAAAGCCGTAACGGAATGGCGCCAGATATACAGCTAGCACTTCCGATGTGGGCGGCGTTTCGTATGGAAAGCTGTCCAGTTGCACACAGCTGTCCAGTTGCACACACGCCACGCGCCACGCCTTTGTCTTTTTGTTTTGGACATGAATCTAATAGTGCCTACAGAACGTACCACCTAGTACGACCAAAGAAAACAAGCCGACAGAAAACTTTCTGTTACTTAGCGTGGCCGGATATGTCACGCGATTGTCTCTGTGAGGCGCGAATGAGCAAGATATCATGATATCGTGTCCAGGCAGGATATTCGGTTCACCAGCTAGAGGCGTATCTGGATGCCGCAGATCAGACTGTAGTACCTGATCTCACTGATTTGCAGCTTGGAAGCTCTTCCACCGAAAAGGCCCTGCCTCACCTAACTCGCTCCATACATATCTGTGCAACAACCCATTCGGTGTACAAAATATAAACAGCTACACTTGAGTCGTACGACGTGTCGTGCACGATATCGGTCGGCTGTTGATTCCGAGCGCGGGATGGCGACCACTGAGACATCTTGAGTCAATATCAGCAATATCCTCTCTGCATAGGACAGTCTTTTATACGAGTGAAGTTCACGCCACCGTTGTTGCACTACAGCTCTAATTTCTGAACACATTCTGCCGTATTTAGCGAGAAACGTCTCAGGAGATATTAAACGAGGTCTTCGATATCTATCAAGAGCACAGAAAAAAACAGACGAAAACAAAGTGCGGATGACGATCGTCAAACTCACAGCCAAAATTTGGCGCAACCCTCCAAGGTGGGTGGCAATCCTCCACTGAGTCTCAACTCCGGAGCTCTGACGTTATTGCCAGTGGGCGAGCCAAAGACCTGGCCAAGACCTGTAATTTTGCCCCCTCCAGAGGCCTCGGCGCCTTCACAGGCACAAAGCCTTGCCCTCTGCCCCTGTCCACTAAATCTACCGTACAGGCTAGGCCCGTGGGCCCCTCCTACTGGGCGCCCCTGGCCTAAATCGGGCGCTGGCGCTAACGGCAGCCGCCAACCACATAAACGACGTCACTGGACCGCAAGCCAATCACATGCTGCCATTCGCACTTCATTCTGGATCAAACCAGGTTTTTGGTTTCAGCTGCCTTTCAGGAAAGCGAACGAAAAAGCAAGACTCGTGGGACACCTCAAACATGGCCTTTATGCAGGGAGAGGGGCTGAGGACGGCATACAGCGATCAGAGAGTCTAGGCCTGTCGTCTCGTTTTTCTTTTCTTTTCTGATGCTCTTCGAAAAAAATAGACGACGCAACATGATACGACATACCGTCGTCCCTATTTGGAAAGTGGTCTCTTCTGAGCACAAAAAAGCATGTTTACCCTTAGTGGCGGCAAGAGCAGCCCACATCGCCGATGAACGACTCCATTCATTTTACCCAAAGTAGAAAGGACGGGCCAAAAGGTTTCTTGCGCGCGCATCAGGAAAGAAGCACACCTCGTCGTAGAGCGTACTTGCCCTGCGATCTGTGACGTTAATGGCGGGCCTCTTGGCGCGGTTTCGTCTCATTGGTTTCTGCCTTTTCTGCTTTGCCTTTTCCCAAACAAAAGTTGCTCTCCTCTCTTGTGCTCTTCTGCTCTTCTGCTCCTCTGCTTTTCTTCTCCTTTCTCACCTCAAAACTCAATTCGCTTTTCCTTCGCGTGGTCGCATTTTGCGCAGATCCTTTGCGTTACCTTTCATCTTGTGTTTGCATTTCTACAATTCATTGTTTCTAGCATAGCATTATACCCCCTTTTCTTTTGTTGGCTGTTTGTTTGATACCTAAGGCGCAGACGATCACGACCCGATTTATGACACCTCAACTATCTTGCTCCTGCGATACATACGACGACAACATCCTATCTTTTGGAACCCTGCACGAGTACCTCTTCACAGCATCTGACAACCGCCGTCACCAAGCCACTTCTACCCTCGACAGGAACCTTTTCCTCTCATAGAGGAGAGTAAAGAGCAACCCGCAATCACTACTGGCTCATTGTCACAAATCCAAAGCTTCCATGGCCATTCCGTGTCAGAAATAGCCTACCTACAGCCTGCGGTGCTTACACCCGCGATAGCCAGTGACTTTCGCGACCTATTTCTGTCCGACGTCGCTTATTGACGTCGCACGAGTTTCGGCAGGATCTTTATGCATAGCAACTGCCCTCTTCTCTCGTTTTTCTTCCTCTTCTGTCCGTCTCCATTCCTAACTGCTTGACGCAACCACCAATATGTCGGACAATGATGGCGACAGTGGCACCGCCCAGACGTCCGCTGGCATCAGCATTGTCGCCTTCTTCACGGCGTTGGCCTCGTCGCTGGTCATTTTCGGCGTTCAGATGGGCTTTTTCTTGCTCTTGAGAAATAAGCTGGCCCGCATTTTGTAAGTAGCCTCACCTTATTGCAGTCCTGTTGACACTGCTCCTGAATGACCCTGGTCTGACATCGTGACAGCAAACCAAAAACATTTATGGTCCCCGAACGCGAGCGGACAGAACCACCA